CTATGTTTGCTGAGTTTAGGATGTAATTGGTTTGTTTAAATAGTGTTGTTAAAGAGGTATAGTATATATAGTGTTGTTTTAGTGGTTTTTTGTTTTTTTTTTTTGTGTTAGAATTGTTTAAATTGATGGAATTGAGGAATTGTTTATAGTTGTAATTGTGTTTGTTGAGTTTAGGATGTAATTGGTTTGTTTATATAGTGTTGTTAAACAAGTATAGTCTATACAGTGTTGTTTAAGTGATTTTTTGTTGTTTTTTTTGTTGTGGTGTAGTCTTTGATGGAGGAACCACCCAGTCCACTGCAAATAATCAGTGGTTTCTTCAACCCGGTCTTATATGAGGGGAACTTTTGTATCTTCAACCTGAACATCGGAGTTTAGCAGTCTACCATGGCTCCGATTCAACGATCAAAAGCGAACCTTTAAAAAATCGTCGATTTGATCAAAAGTTTTGGGTACTACTATAGTACAACGCCGGGTTCAAGGGAATCTGAATATAGGTTACAAAAAGTGTGATATGTCTCATCACCACATTGGTGGAACGATGGATACCTGAGACACACACTTTCCACTTTCCATTCGGTGAGGCAACCGTGACGTTGCAAGATGTGGAAGTCCTATTTGGCCTCCAGGTCGATGGGGACATGGTTTGTGGTTTGCCGCCAAACCATGGTGTGGCGCAATGGCAATCAATTTGCCACGATATGTTGGGATTCACCCCTGTCGCAGGTCGAATAGCTGAAATACTCTTAAGATTTCGGTTGTAGAGGAAGCGGCGAACCGTGAAATCCCTGAAGGTAATATTTAAATTTATTTATATTTTTTAATATAATTGAATTAATTAATTTTTGGCCAAAGAAATATTAAGGTTTGAAGTGTTGTTTTTGTAGGTTCGCCGGAGATCGTGTATGTACAAAGGGCCCGATTAATGCTCCTGTGGTTTATGGGTTCTTTTATGTTTTCGGACAGAAGTCAAAACAGTGTTGTTTTATATTTATTGAACCATTGACGGATTTCAGTCATTGTGCAAAACTTAGTTGGGGATCGGCTCTCCTTGCTTACTTATATTTTAGCCTGTACGAGGCTAGTAATTATCAAAAATGTGATGTAGCCGGCTGTGTGTATCTTCTACAGGTATTTATATATTCAATACGTGGCAATTCAATTTGAAAAAAATTTATTATATTGTGAAGTATTATTATTTATTGTTGTTGTTATTGATTTAGGTTTGGGCATTTGAGCGGATCCCGAGAATCATGCCCCAAAGAAATTTAAAGAGATTTGAAGAAGATCTTATAGCTCCTTTAGTTTAGGGGTGAGTTTATTTCTTATACTCTTAATTTAAAGATTACTAATATCATTATTATTTTTATTGGGTAAATAATACCTTTCATTTTTTTTTTTTTGTATTGAAAGGTGGAATTGCTGATACTCCTACAAAGACGTCCCAAGGTCTAGTCTCCCGAGTTCTAGAGATCAATTGACCGCCTTAAAAGCCAGTGATGTAAGCATGGATCACTTTTTAATTTATTTTTTTCCCACCATTCTTATGTGAATTAATTCGTTAATTCCCAATTTTTTTCACAGTTTGTTTGGCAACCCTACGAGGATCTCTTCCCTACCCTCCCTGATTGTTATAAACATGGAAGTGCCATTTAGATGACAAGGACGTGGATGTTCTACTGGGCTATCCGAGAACCCCACGAAATTGGCAGGTTCGTAAGACAGTTTGGCTACATTCAAGCTGTTCCTCGATGGCCTATGATTGCCAATATCCAAGAGAATAGAATGCTCACGAACACAACATGTCTAGGCTTACTTCAAAAAATTGGGTGGAACACCATAGTAAAGTACGCCTCATTGGAATAGGAGAGCCGAAACATTCCTACAGATTTGGAGGAAGGGGAGCCCAGTCAAACTGATGAGAAGTACGAAGCGTGGCATAACAAAGGTTCGGTGAAATTGATAAGCAATCCGAGTCACTACTCATCAGCCGAATATGAGTCTTCCTCGAGTCGGGTGAAAGTCTATGTAAGTGTTTATTTGCAATTAATCTACGTACGGAAGTGCAATTTACTCTATTCATATAAATTTTGAATTATACTCCTTTAGTTAAAGTGTCATTTGATTTCCAGGGTGAAGTGTTGAACAATGTCCGTATGAGGGTCATATCATTCCGAGAAGAACGTCATAGAGCCCATGACCTAGACGACGACCTCGAAAAGGTGCTCGACTATTTCGCGGACGTAACCCACACTGCTTTAACTCTCGGAAAGGATGATGAGATGTAAATTGAGGATTCCCATATCCTTTTGAATTATGAACCTCGTCGCCCTTCACAAGGTCCGCACGGTGAAATAATGAAGCCGTGGCCAAGAGAGAAAAATTGGAGGAGGAAGAAAGCGAAGGAATCCTTTCAGGCCATCACAATCGCATGATCACGCGGAAGGTTCGAGCCAACACGAGCAAGAGAACCCAGGAGGAGAGAATGTGGGAGGAGGGGAGGAAATGGGAGGAGACAATGTATAAGAGAGGACGATGTTGGTTCTTCGAGATGATCCTACATCCCACATGAAGAGATACCTCTCACCATTACTCTCGGAGGAGAATCGCAAGTCCCAATTCTTACAATCCGTCCAGAGCCGGAGGAACAAGGGGTTCGCAAATCTGACAGAACACGCAACCCCAAGGTTAACTTTACCCCGCCCACTATTCCTAGGGGAGTGAAAGAGAAAACAGGATTGTTGATTAGTCTTTTTTGGGGTTTCTAAATGATTTGGATTGTAAGTTGAGAATTTTACATTATTTTGTTATGAAAATATTATTGTTTTGTTGTTGAATTAGTTTGTTATGAATTGGTTGTTGGTGCTGTTTAAACAGGGTGAGGGCTAGTGAAAACTAGTCCATTATTTTTTTTTTCAAGTTTTTGGTATGTCTCGGATTTCGCAAATCCGAAAGATAACATTTTGAGATCTCTAGAATTTAGCAAATTCAAGAGTTCTGCAGAATCTGCGGACACTCGGATTTGCCAAATCTGAGACTCTTCATATCTATTTTTCCACTTGAATTTTTTTTCGAAATTTAAAATAATATTTTATTTAATAGTTCGGATTTCACAAATTCGAAACTCTTTGTCTCGGATTTGGGTGATCCGTTTCTAGTCAACTTTAATTTTCGAACACTTGGAATTTTTTTCAAAATAAAAAATATTCTTTTATTGAAGTCATTCGGATTTCACAAATCCGAAACCAGATTAATTTTAATTAATCATTTGGTTTAATTTAATTAATTTCAAGTTAGAAGACTTTCGAATTAGCCAAATCCGTGTTAAACTTCTCTCGGATTTCTCAAATCCGAATAATAAGTGCTCTCGGATTTGGCAAATCCGGGACATCTATTTCTGTCCACCTTTTTTCTCTTCACATTATTTTTCCAAGTTCTTCCCTTGATAATTTTTTCGGTAAAAGACTCTGATGTTGATTGTATATATGAATTTAGGAGGCAAAAAGTATAATACATAGAATAATACATAACCCATATATTAGGCATTTTCATCTAACTTTATTTTAAAAGTTAAAAAACAACATCTAAGCCGAACCGTCCTTTTAAGGTCGCAAAGTCCTCCAGAATGACAATATAGAATCTTTAGGAATTTTTGTGCTTGTTTGGACGTCAGTTTTGTTTTCATTTTCAACTTGAATGTAGAAAGTGTTTTAAGTGAAAAATATAATGAAAGATGAAAAAGTTGTTTGAATGGTATATTAGCAAAAAGCTATTTGGATGGTGGTTGGAAAAAGTTTTTTTGGAATATGTATTGAAAGATCAAGTACGAAAAATATCACTAAATAATCGAAAAGTGTCAATTTTAGTCACTGTTAAAAAAGAATTTCAAAATTGATCACTAAACAACGGAAAAGTGTCGATTTCAGTCACTATAAATGACCACTAAAATCACGGAATAGTTTCTAAAATTAATATTTTAAAGTGACCAAAATCGACACTTTTCCGTTGTTTAGTGATCATTTTTGAAATTTTTTTTACAGTAACTAAAATTGACACTTTTCGATTGTTTACTGATATTTCTCGTACATGATATTTCAATACATAATCCAAAAAACTTTTTCCTAACCACCATCTGATCGGGGCCTCGGTTTTTTTACTAGAGTAAATTGAAATAAATGTGCAAAGTTTTGGATTTAATCACTGAACTATGTTTAGTTAAAAAAAATAGTTACTGCACTAACAAAATGTTTCAAGTTTGATTTTAAAATGTATCAGAAAGTTTTTTAAACGTCAGTTTGATTTACATTGGATTTTGTATTTAAGAGGCAAAATGAGTTAAAAATGCAAAACAAGTGGACGTGCAAACAAGCCCAGTCTTTACCGCCAATCCCCGTAGTTACAAGCTCGCACTTTTACCATTTCACTACTAGCCTTCTCAATTTAATATACTTCTTATGTTATAGAAAATAATCTACATTACAATTACAATTTATAAATTGTATTATCTTTAGTATAATTTACAAATTACTATATTCATTTTTTTTTTTTAAATTGAGAGAATATGTTTTTTTTTTTTTTGTTAAAATTATTCTTCGAACCCAGATGTAACAAAGAATAATAACACTCCAACGAAAGCCTCTTTTTCTTCACCATTTAACTAGATAACCCTTTGGTTCTCAAATAATAAAAGTTTTTTTTACCTAACACATTTACCATATATAAAGATATGGGAAAAAAAATCTTACGGAGGTTAAATAATTCAAATTAGTATTATTAGAATATATGCGTATTGAATCCGAGTATATAATGCAAAAAGAGAAGAAAAAAAAATCAACTTTAACTAACAAAATAAAAATAAACCCGACAAGATATTTACAAAAAGGCTCAATATATATAGTAAATAAAGAATGACATATAATCAAAACGGGAATTAGTTGGAATATTGGGGAGGATTGTAGTAGCTTTTCCCATTTATTTATGGAAAAATCAAAAACCAAATTGAGAAAGGGAAAAGGCGCGCAAAGCAAAACCCTCTCTCTTTCTCCCGCAAAATCTATATATATGCCCCTGCGATATCATCGCAGGACTAAACTCCGATAAGATCTGCGACTGCGAAGGCGAAGGCAAGGCGACGGCGACGGCGACGACAATGGAATCCCTTTTGAATAAAAAGACTGGGGGTCGGCGTAAGATACCGATGGAGAAGATCCCGGAAGATAAAGTTAGGGGCATGTGGTCGTCGCGTTCCAAACGGAAGGAGACTCTGTTCAAGAAGGCGGCGAAACTCAAAGAATTGTGCGGCGTTGATGTTGCAGTCCTCGTTCAATACCCCAGAGGCAAGTTTTACTCTTCCAAAAACGAGTCCGAGATTAATTCCCTTATCAATCAGTACCTCTCTGGAGACAGAGTCTCTTATTCCGGTGACGGAGCCGGCGGGGCCTCCAACGTCAGCGGCTGGGTTGAGGAGGAATTTTATGGTTCGATTTCGATTGATGATCAGAGACCAATTGCCAGCGAAATTCAAGGGTATATTTCTTGTGTTGGGGAAACTTCTTGTCCCGTTGTTGGTGGTAGCGCCGCCAGCTACGGCCGTGATCAACCACCGCAAGTTGTTGATGATTTTGTGGATGTGGGTCAGATGGCCGATTGCGATATGGGTGAAGGGTTTTCTTCCAAATTCGGAACTAATTCCTCCTGTGGTATCGGTGGGGCCTCCAACGGTGAGAGCATGGGTGAGAGCATGGGAGAAGAGATTAAGGATTTGACAGCCGTGGATCGCAACGGACCAAGTAGCTATTCCGATCATCAAATTCAAGGGTGTGTTCCGGTTAAGCACGAAGAATTTTTTGAGGATCAAGAATTGATGGACGAATTGTCAAGCTTGCTGGCTGATGATGCTTCATGTTCATTGTTTACTACATTAAATTTTTGATTTTGTTCTTGTGCAATTCCAACTCTTCTTCCTGTTTGGTTTTCATTATTGTTGAAGAGTATAGTTTCATGCTTTTGCAGACTTAATTTATATTAAAGGAATTTTTATTGTTGTTATGATTATTGTTATTTTTTAATCAGTCCCTTTTTCCTGTGTAAAAGAGGTACTCCATCTTGAATGTCATTACAAAATTTTGCGGAAGTTTATGAAAAGATGATTAATCTTTATTTCACATATGATTCTTTTATTTTTAACCTTTTTTTGGCTTAACAAGAGAGATGGGTTGCTTCCAGCCAATATGCATCTCTTCAATGGAAGTTGAATTTATCTTAGCTATGCAAACTATAATCCGAGCGTTTAAATCTCGATTTGAATATATATCTTAAATAATCTTTGTCTTTATTCGCATAAATAAACATTTTCTAAAACCGAATATTACCAAGGGACTGGCATTGGCCTATCTTCACGAAGAATGTAGCATAAAATAACTCTGTTTTGTTATTGCAAACGTGGTTGGTGTTTTGCGACCTTTAATTCCTTACTGTTTCGCTTGTCAGTTTTGAATTCAGTCCCAGTGGAAGGAATGGCTAGGAAAAGCAATACAGTTGTAGGAATATGATTTAGAAGTCAATATTCTTCATGGTCATCAAAAAAGGAACCAATATTGTCTTTTGATCGGTTGAGTTATGGTTTGAATAAGGAAGACATGAAAAATGGATTATCTTTCCGTTTATAAAAGAAAAAAGTTTGGAATAACACAGATTCTTTGATTTTTGAATTATTTCAAATCGAAAAGGGTCAAGAATTAATGAGATCAAGGAACTGAATAAAACAAAGCTCGAGAATGCCAATAATTTAGAGTTTAAATGTTCAAAAAAAATGTGAGTTATAAAATAATTTGTGACAAAATACAAAAATGCCAGAAATTATTACATGCGCATTAAGTGCAGCTAGGTGGCTACGCTTAATGCACGCGCCATTGAGTCGCGCGAAGTCTTCCCACACGCATTTAATGCGCAGGTTGTTGTTTTTTAATTATTCTTTTGTTAAGTGGCGGGTTTTAAAAATTTCTTTTATTTTAAAATAATTTTATATCTTAACTCGTAATGAATTAGACCAAGTATCTTATATCATTTTGATAGTACTCAATGAGATCTATCCAATAAGATCCATCATAAATATATTTTTTGAAACTTAAAAAATTTATTCAGTTGCCTTGGTTTTCTAGAAAGACACTATGGTCTTACTTGTTGGTCCAAAGTATTTTGTGCAAACAGTTTGGTCTTTCTATTTATTGCTATGGGTCTTGATTTGTACGTATTTGTCTTGGCCTTCTCGAAATACACTCTGGTCATGCTTGTTTGTATTACTAGTCCTTGGTTTTTGGTTCTTAATTTTGGGGCGTTGGTCTTTGATTTACGGTGGGATTTTTTGGGGATTTTTTTGGATTTTTTTTTCTTTTTTTTTTAGTGGTTTTTTTAATGAGACTTTTTTCTTTTTTTTTTTTTGGTTTAGTGGTTTTTTTTGATAATTATGATATTGTGCATTTATCTAGATATAATTAACCTCTATTTTGATTATTTAACAATGGAAAACTTCATTTGTTTTTTTTTTTTTTTGGAATTTATTTCTTTTCACTGTAGTTCCAATTTCTTACTTAATATAAATTTAAATTATAAAATGAGACATATAGATATTTTTTTTGCAATTTATTTCTTTTCATTTTAGTTCCAATTCTTACTTAAAATAATTTTGAATTATACAATAAGACCATATAAAACATAGTATATGACCTTTAAAATTATATAACAAGACCATAAAATGAATTACAAAACATGAATTTTAAAATTTTATATAATAACACCATAAAACAAATTATTGTTGTAAGACCTGTGAAATTATATAATAGAAAACCATAAAACAACTTATATAGTGGAACTAAGACCATTAATACCAAGAAGTAAGACCAGATTGACCTTTGAAATCTGTCGCTCCTTACACACGCCCGCTCCTCTCACACGCCCTTTCAAACATCTCCCCCGCAAAAATATTTCCAATTTACAAAAGCACGTTAGCCGAAGGCTACGTGGGCATCTGTCGCAAAATACTCGCCGCTCCTTACACACGCTCGCTAATCACGCACGCCCGCTCCTCACACACGCGTGCTCCGTTATCTCTCCTGAAAAAATGTCTCCAATTTATATACGAAGGGCCGCGTAGGCACTCGAAAAGCATGCTAGTCGAAGGCTACGTGAGCATCTGTAGTGAAGTATCCGCCGCTTCTCACACACGCCCGCTCCGATATCTCCCCCGAAAAAAGGTTTTCAATTTACATACGAAGGGCCACGTAGGCGACCGAAAAGCACACTAGGCAAAGGCTATGTGAGCATCTGCCGCGAAGTATCCACCACTCCTCACACACGCCCGCTTCTCAACCAAAATATATATATATATATATTGTGTTTAGGGTTTATGGGGATTTAAGTATTTCCTTGTTGGTTAGGGCCTAGTTTGTCCCGTAACACGATTAACGTTATAAAGTTTTTTAAACCAATTAGGCTAGGGTCTCGTCTAATTGGTTTAAAAAAATTTCAATCAGAAAAAAAATATTGTGTTTATGGTTTAGGGGGGTTTAACCATTTCCGTGTTGGTTAGGTCCTAGTTTGTCCTGTAACACGATTAACGTTATAAAATTTTTTAAACCAATTAGGCTAGAGTCTCGTTTTACAAGTCCTTAGCCTAATTGGTTTAAAAAAATTTCAACCAAAAAAAAAATATTGTGTTTAGGGTTTAGGAGAGTTTAAGCATTTCCGTGTTGGTTATGGCCTAGTTTTCTCCCCTAACATGATTAACGTTATAAATTTTTTTAAACCAATTAGGCCACGAGACCCTAGCCTAATTGGTTTTAAAAAAAATTTAACCAAAAAAGAAAATTGTATTTAGGGTTTAGGGGAGTTTAAGCATTTTCGTGTTGGTTAGGGCCTAGTTTGTTAACACGATTAACGTTATAAATTTTTTTTAAACCAATCCTAATTGGTTTTAAAAAATTCCAACAAAAAAAATAAGAATATTATGTTTAGGGTTTAGGGGGATTTAAACATTTCCGTGTTGGTTAGGGCCTCGTTTTTCCTCATAACACGATTAACTTTATAAATTTTTTTAAAAAATTAGGCTAGACCCTAGCCCAATTGATTTAAAAAAAATTTCAACCAAAAAAAAAATTGTGTTTAGGGTTTAGGGGGGTTTAAGCATTTTCGTGTTGGTTAGGGCCTAGTTTGTCCCGTAACACGATTAACGTTATAAATTTTTTAAAACCAATTAGGCTAGGGTCTCGTTTTTTTAAACCATTTGATCTTTGGTATTTTTATCTTTGATCTTTCGTCTTCGATTCTTGGTCTTGGGCCTTTAGTCTTTGGTCTTTGGTTTTTAGTTTTCGATTTTTTGTTTTTGGTCTTCCGTCTTTTGGTCCTCGCTCTCTAGTCATTGGCCTTTGGTCTTCGATCGTTGCTCCTCACACATTGTCGATCTTCACTGTGGTCTCTAAGTCTTTGGTATTTGGCCTTTGATTTTTTGTCTTTAGTCTTTGGTCTTTGGTCCTTGGTCTAAGCTACTTACACACCGGTTTCAGGAAGACCAAGGGAAATACATAAAAGTCAAGACCTATAGCAACAAATAAAGAGACACAACTATTTGCACAAAACACTTAGGAGCAACAAGACCAGAGTGTCTTTTAGGAAGACCAAAGTTATTTAATAAAAAATTTTATGTTTCAAAAAACATATTCATGAGGGATCTTGTTGGATAGATCTCATCGAGTACTATTAAAATGATATAAGACACTTGGTCTAATTCTTTACGGATTATGAAATAAAATTATTTGAAAATCAAAGAAAATTTCAAAACCCATTTCCTTAAATTAAAGAAGAGTGGTGTGTGTGTGTTTCACTTTTTTTATAAAAAAAAATCAAATTTTGAGCTAAAAAAGGGAAGGGGACGCGTGGTATCACATTAAGTGAATGTAGCTACATACACTTAATGCTTATAGTATAATAACTCCAAAAATGTGATACAGCGATAAAATTCTTATTAAAAAATATAATGCATAAATCCGACTTAATTGTTTAATACAGCATTACAGATTTACAACACGAACAACATAACCACAACACAAAATGCAATCAAACCGAGACAAATCACAGCGGCCCGTATAGAAAAAAAAAATCCACGCACGTATTTATATTGGAAGAATAGAGAAGAATCAAGGTGACCCGAAGGAGAATCGGCTGCCCAACAAAATACCAAGTCTCCCAATGCTTGCTATTTCCTTTTTTCTCTTGTAATTTTTCCCCTTTTCTTTCATAGAGATTATGTATGGCATGTTTCTTTGAATATGCGAAAATCCATAGTCTCTTGTAGTAATTGATTTTATTTTTACTTTTTATTTTTGTTTAAAATAGACCGCCGTGCTTTGTGAGACAATTAGGAAATGAAAGAGTAAGTAGTGTGTCTAATTATTTGAGAATTATTCTCCTTTCGTTTAATAGAGAAGTATTTACAACTAAGCCTAAGGTCATGAAAAAATATTCTTCCCTCCCAAAATTATTATCCACTTTGAATTTTTATTTCTAATACAAATTGAACTAAAAGTGAAAATATAAACTAGACAATAATTTTGAGACAGAAAGAGTGACTTGATATATGAGCCAGAAATGGTCACGAAAGAAAGAACATTTTCTAAAACTTTTTTTTCCCTCTCTTCTGGTGAAAACCATATGATCCATTGCCTTCTAGTTTCTATTTGGATTCATGGAATGATGAGAGTATTTGGATCAAATGTAGCTACGATAGGCTATATAAATACTATCAGCGGTGCGAGGTAATTGGCCATGTGATTGAGAACTGTAGCATTGATCGGAAGGAAGAGCTTGAGCAACACTTAGATGTTAGTTTTGATCTGTGTAGTAAGTAGAGGAATGTGGAGTGTGGCAGGGATGAATTCAATAGTCTTTTCCCTCCATATATGAGAACTACCGATGGTCAGATAAACAAGAAGATGACTCGCCTGTCGCCGGAGTATATAACGAAGCACTTTTATGTTTTCCAAGGTTTGAGGGAGGAAGATATAATGGATGGTTTTGTTTATAGTCACCATGAGGAGAATCTTGAGGCAGAACAAGAGGCGTTTGAGATGAATAAAGAAGTGATCCGCTTACAACGCAGATGTTCAATGCGGGAGGTTGTTCATAACTTGGAGGAAGACCCTATGCAGGTGGACACACCAAAAGTGGAAAGAAGACCTTTAACTGATAGAGATGTATGTTTTGGCTAGAATAATGGATCGCCTATGGAAGGACCGAGTCATCAACTGTCGAGGCCATGGGGCCCACAGGAAGGAGTGAATGTAAGTGTAATACAGAATAAAAATATTAGAGACCAGGTCCATGTGTCAGAAAGAAAGGTATTGGAAGACCCGCAAGTAAGACACTTTATCCGACAGGAACTTGGTGAAACACACCAGGAAAACCAGATGCGTAGAGCTCAAGCAGAAAGGTTGCGTGAAGATGATGGAAGGTTGGAAATTTTGTCACCGCCAAAGGACTGGTCAAGTGGAGGAACCACACGTCAGCAAATGGGTGAGTGGATTTTCTCACAGAAAAGGGCCAGGCCAGAAAATAGACATTTGGACTCAAAGTCAGCCCACTACCAGACTCTAACAATAGAAGAGGTAATGGAACAACTTACAAGTCATTACTACCAGCGTGTCCCAAATAGGGAGTCAAGCCCATTTTGGAGATCTTGGATGGATGTGCAAGTGGGTCAAAGTGAGTCTAATCGAGTTTGGGCCCAAGGTGAACTCCCAAACAAGGTTGGGCTGAGGCTGGGCCTCTACAAGCCAGTAAATCTCTGAACCTTTCTGTTCATGATCTGCTCCGGACAGGTAAAACTATAAGGGGGCCTGAAAATCGCTTTATAGCTTCTTGCCCTTTCTTGCCTTTGCCGTCGATAGATTCACTGGAGTCATATAATCCCAGTGAACTTCGTCAAATGTGTATCATGTCTGATGATGATTTTGAGAGGCGAGAAAACATACGCCTAGGTAAAAGACCAGTGCGGGAAGACAAAGCCCAGGGTCTGCTTAAAAAACAAAGAAGGGAGGAAAGGTTGTGGGATGAAACAGGGAAACATCAATCGAAGCTGGTGATGATTCTAGAACCACCAAGTAGAGTCACAGACATCCATCGAAGACCAGATCAAGGCATGGGGGTTAGAGATGTACGCAAGGAATTGCTAGACAAGTGGTCAAAGGAGAAAATTGCTAAGAAGAGGAATAGGTTGCTGATTGAGATTGAGATCACAGGAATCGAATAGCAGTGTGAATAATGTGTCGAAGCATCCAAGGTATGGAGTGGATTTGCCGTATCCAACAAGAGGGTATGGGAAAGATATAAACTTGCTGATTGATAGTTTGGGCAAAGCAATGGAGGATAGAAACCGTATGACTGTTGATGCACCAAATGCTTTTCCGGTAACAGACTCATCTTCGAAGGATTAAGCAACTGACAAAGTAACTGAGGGTTTCGGGGTGGTTGGACCAAATCAACCACCCGAATTACCATGAGAGTCCTCTCGTAGAATTGCAGGGGCTTTAATCGGCTACCTGCGAAACAGTATATCAGGCAGCTTTTGAATTGTTATAAGCCTAAGGTTTTGTTATTGCAAGAAACTAAATTAGCTAGTAGTACTGTGTTTGATAGATGGTTAGATGGTACTTATTTTGGTAAAATAGACATTGTAAATGCTAATCAGTCAGTGGGTGGATTAGCGGTCTTTTGGAATGGTGATTTAGGATTAGAAATTTTAGAGAAATCACCGCATTTTGTAGCTGCTAGGGTTTATGATGTAACGGGTGTTCAATGAGGGATCCTTTTTGTATATGGGCACCCAGATCAAGTGTCCCGTGTGGCAGTTTGGAATGAAATCAAAGTAGTGGCTTTGCAGTATAGCTTGTGTTGGGTAATGATAGGAGATTTTAACCAAATTTTGGATCAAGATGAAAAGCGAGGTGGGCTAAAAGTGAAAGAACAACAGGTACAACCATTCAGGAACTTAATCAGTGACTTGGACATGAAAGAGGTTCCTTTTAGAGGCAACAAATATACCTAGACAAACAATCGGAAAGGGAGGGACTGAATAGTTGAACGGCTTGATCGAGTTTTTGCCTGCTAGGCTTGGACAGATTTGTATCCTCAAGCATATGCCATAAATCTCCCCTTTGCTATTTCGGATCATGGTCCAGTGGTATTTAGTACTAGGAAAGATCAAGCTACACAAACACGAAATCTAATCCGTTGTGAGGCTTTTTGGGCAAAAAGTGAAGTGGCTTTTGATATTGTGAACTGAACATGGCATGAGCAAGGAGGACCAAGTCAAGAAAATGATCCCAGGAGAATGTCATTAGCTTTGGATATTAGTCTTAAAAATCTTGCAAGCTGGAGTAGGCAGTCATTTTGGAGGACTGGACGCGAGAATTAAGAAATCCATGGGGCGTCTTCATACTTTGCAACAGCAGGAGGGTGTGGTAGACAATCAGTACAAGATTGTAAAAGGAAAAGAGGAATTGGAACGATTGTTGAACTTTCAGAATGAATACTAGTCCCAAAGAGCAAAAACTGTTTGGAATCATGCAGGGGACAAGAATACCGCTTTTTTTCATAAGTGGGCCACAAAAAGGAGAGAGCGGAACTGGATTGCTGCCTTACTGAATTCTGATGGTACGTGGTGCCATGATGAAAATAGTATAAGACAACAAATGTTACATCACTTCCAAATGGTGCTGGTGACAGATGAGGAACTCCGTAGTGAAGATGATGTGTGGGATCAAACACCTTCGATCATCAATCTAATTGAGGAGGTGGTTCAGCCGGAGCAGAGACAGAAAATGCAGGAGCTCTTCATGGTTCAGGAAATTGAGACTGCAATAAAAGAGATGGCACCATGGAAGGCGCCAGGACCTGATGGTTTACCAGCCGGTTTTTATTAGAATTTCTGGGATATTATCAAGAAGGAGGTGATGGAGTGTTTCCTTGGCATTTTAAATCAGCATAGCTGGGATGATAGTTGGAATCAAACGAAAGTCATCTTTATCCCAAAAATAGGCAATCCTAAGACCCCAACAGATTATCGTCCAATCAGTATGAGTAATATAAAGTACAAAGTGATAGCTAAAGTCTTGGCAAATCGCCTAAAAGAAGTGCTTCCTCACATTATCTCAGAAGAGCAGAATGGTTGTGCCGGGGAGGTATATAGGAGAAAATATTTTACTGGCACACGAAGCGGTGAAGTATACTAGAAAGAGAAAGAAAGGAAGAAAAGGAGTGGTTGTGTTAAAGATTGATACGAGTAAGGCTTACGATCGAGTATCGTGGTCTTTCTTACAGCAAGTCATGATAAAAAATGGGGTTTCCCCAAAATTTTGTCACTCTAGTTATGAAATGTGTGTCAACAGTGAATTTCTCTACTAGTGTAACTGGGTGTCAGTCGGACTTTTTTTGCTCCCATTCAGGATTAAGACAAGGCTGCCCTATATCACCATACCTGTTTATAATTTCTCAACAAGCTTTGTCACTGGCCTTATTGAAGTTGGATCAACAGAGTGGAGGTTTTGGCATACAATTGGCCACGAAGGCACCTAGATTGTCATGTAAGCAGACGGTTGCCTGATTTTTATGGAAACAATGAGACAAAATGTCAGGACATTGTATGAGGTTTTGGAAGGGTATACAAGCAGCTCAGGACAGAAGATAAATATTTGCAAGTCAGCCATAATGGTGAATCCGAATATGCCGATTAAATTCAAGGAATGGATGTCATCGTGCTTAGGAATCCCGTTACAGGCCCGCCAGCAAAAATATTTAGGATTATCTTTGGACTTTATGAAGAAGAAATCCTTGCTGTTTGGGACATAGTCCAAAAGATGAAGAAGAAGCTGAGCTCTTGGAAAAATAGGTCGTTGTCGATGAGTGGCAGGATTACTCTGGCTAAACATTCTTTGGCGACACTGCCTATCTACATGACGGGAGCATTTAAACTCCCTCGAAATATAACGAAACAGATAGATAAGGTAGTAGTCAATTTCATCTGGAATGGAGATAAGAAAAGAGGAGAAATTCATAGGAAGTCATGGAGCCATTTACGTAAGTCGAAGTTACAGGGAGGTCTAGGTTTTAGGGCATCAAGTGAAATGAATCAGGCATTATTAGCAAAAATAGCTTGGTGAATTATATTAGTCATGAAAACTCTTTGTTTGCGAGGATTTTTCTTACAAAATATACTAGAGGGAAATACTTCATGGAATGCCCAGCTGCAAAAGCATCGTCCTGGGGTTGGAGAAGTATTATATAGGGACGAGAACTCCTAAGGTCGAGTCTGAAATGGTAGGTTGGGAATGGAGATAATATTCTGATTCAAGATGACTGGATACCAAACATAAGGAATCCATTGCAGGATAATCCTATTTTCCAGTAGGATCTTTTCACATGGAAGGTCAAGGATCTATGGGACCAACACAGAAAATGGCGTGAGCCTCTTTTAAGGAGTATTCTCCCATCATCAGTAGCAGAGCAAGTTTTGTCTATGTACATCCCACAAAATCGGACACTGCCGAAAGACAGAAAGATCTGGACCAAAACAGTGACTGTTATCTATACAGTTAAAACCGGATATCACGAGGCTAGGAACATAGAGTCAGTCAGACAAACTGCATGTACGACATCGGGACAGCAAGGAATGAGTAAGGCAGCTTGGAAGGTGTTCTGGTCTGTTCAAGTCCCAAAGAAAATACAGTGGCTGATGTGGAGGATGGTAAATTATGCTCTCCCATCGACTACAGCTTTGAACCGGAGAGGAATAATATCGTCAGGTTGCTGTGTGAGGTGTAATAAAGAAGAGGAGAGTACCCAACACACTTTTATGGAATGTGAGCATATGCAAAGAGTGTGAAAAAGCTCCTCATTGGGTTTTGATTTCACGATAGAAAATAGAATCTCTCTGGTGGAATGCTTAAAAATTGGCTTACCTTAGTGCCAGATAAGGAGGCTATCCAGCTTTCTTTTTTTATATTTTGGCAGATATGGTTAGCCAGGAATAAAGCGGTGTAGGACTTACAAATTCAGGAACCTGGACAGGTACAGAGAATGGCGTCAACAGAGTGGATAATCTTTGGGAAAACATCCCCGAAACATTTCCACAGAGAGTTGCGGTCAAAGAGGCAGCAGGGGGAGAGGAAAGATCGAAGGTCCCAAAATGAGGGGGGAGTATTATATTAGGACTGATGGAGTTTTCCAGGAGAGTGTGAATAAGGGAGCTGGTGCTTGGGAGATTATTACTAACCAAGGGAAATATATTTCGTCTGGAATGGAAGCGTTTCATGCGGCTTCAGCTGAGGATGCAGAAAGCAGGGCATGTTAATAAGTAAACTTAATTTGGTCCAATTAATATTGGGTTATCCAAAATTATTAACTTGGACCATGAATCTTTATGTTTAATCCTAAGCCCAAGTCCAATGAAGAATTGTCTAGATAAGAAGATATCTAGAAATAGAAAGTTCTAGAAATGTTCCACATAAATATCAAGAGTATGTAGAATAATTCATGAAAAATATCTAGAAGAAATATCTAGATATTAGTAAGGAAAAGTCTAGATATTAGAATAAAATATGTAGATATTTAGAAGGAGTAGAAACATCTTGAAAGAGTGTAGAACCTTCCATGCACTCCTATAAATAGCAGTTAACCCCCTAATGTATGTATGTGTAGAGAGTTGTGAGAAACTTTAAACTAAAAGCTTAACACACTCCACCTTGTTTCCTTTTACTACAAAGTAGTAAAGCTCCCTTTCTCCCAAAATTTCCTTCTCTTCCATTTTCACTTCCTAAACCTATCACTTAAAAGATCTCTTCCTTATAACCCAAAGGGTTCTTTTGCTAACAAACTGGTATCAGAGCTAGTGTTGGTCCATCTTTGAAGTAAGATGGCAAATGAAATGATCTCTTTCCAATTCCCTCAACTTACCAAAGAAAACTATGGTAAGTGGTCCATTCGAATGAAGGCGATCTTAGGCTCTCACGAGGTTTGGGAGATTGTTGAGAAAGGTTATGAGAAACCTCTAGATGAGGCTTCTTTGACTCTTGCCCAAAGGGGGGAACTCAACAAAGCAAGGAGAAAGGATCAACAAGCTCTTTCACTTATCCATCAATGTCTAGATGATTCCATGTTCGAGAAGGTGGCAAATGCTTCTACATCAAAGGAGGCTTGGGATATTCTAGAGAATGCTAATAGAGGCATTGAGAAGGTTAAAAAGGTACGTCTTCAAACTCTTAGAGGAGAATTTGAAGCTTTACAAATGGAGGAGTCCGAATTTGTTTCGGATTATTGTTCTCGTGTCTTGAAAGTGTCAAATGAGATGAAGAGGAATGGAGAAAGCTTGAGTGACACAAGAGTGATAGAAAAAATTCTTCGCTCTTTAACACCAAGCTTTGATTATATTGTGGTAGCA